CCAGGTTCTGCCAATTAAACAGATCCTTTCTGCGGCTAGGAAAGACCAGAAGGAGCAAAATCCAACTGTGATTGGGAAAAAAGGGTCTTCTCACTCTCACACACAGACATACACACATTTTCTTTGTTCCCCTGGGCTTTAAACTTAAAATTTAGAGGTACTCACCTTCACCTTCTTTCCAAAGCAGCCCTTGAGCTCAGACCCAAAAACTCCCTTTACTACCCTGGCTCCACATGGGCAAGGCCTGGGAAATCCATCTACAGACACAAGGGGTCTGCTGCCGGCAAGATGGGGCTTACCAGTCTCAGTCCATTGGAGAGGTTAGCTTGGAGTCCCATCTCTGGGGTGCCAAATTGTTGGAAGTAAAGTCTTCATCCTGGTTCATCCAAGTCGGGAATAAATAAGCAACACGGCACTGCTTTGGGAAGATGGTTACAGTTTATTGAAGAGGCAGAAAGATGGTTCTTGCAGGAAAGACCAGAGGAAAGAAGGACCTGAGCACATGGTCAGTAAGTTTTTATACCCTCTGAAAGCCTTTTGTTTGGAATAATTTCTGGTCCTGTGGCATGAACTTTGAACTAAGTCTGAGTGTTCTTCTAGGCCAGCGGTTCTCAACCTGTGGGTCGCAACCACTTTGGGGGTCGAACGACCTTTTCACAGGGGTCGTCTAAGACCATCGGAAAACACATATTTCCGATAGTCTTAGGAACTGAGACACTGCCAAAGCTGCTGCCGCCGCCTCAAGAACGCACAGTGGACGAGCCAAGGAAAGGAATTGAATGAGGAGAGGGGGCCTGCCTGCCTGCATGTTTGTGTGTGCGTTTGTGTAGAGTCGCTATTTCAATTCCCAATTTACGAAGAAAAAAAAAGATTGATGTGAATAAAATGTGGTGGAAGACAAGCGCTGTGTGTATGTGTGTGTGTGTGCGTGTGTGTGAGTGTGTGCGCACGCAGTGTTAATCATATTCTTTCCCTCGTCATGTGCCTTGAGCTGCGACGCCAATAACCGTCTGCTCTCAGTTCGTGACGAGCGGGGCTCTTCTCTTTTTCCATCCTTGCTTCGAGCGAAATGTTGAAAACCGTACGACACCGAGAGGCACGTGTCCCGCTGGCAAGGCTCAGGGGAAGCGCCAGGATCAGTGCCCCTTTCCGCCTGATTAGTGCTTCTCCGAGGCCGGGAGAGTTTGGCCCCTTTCCGCCTAATTGGCGCTCCTCCGAGGCCGGGAGAGCTCAGAGGAAGCGCCAGGATCAGCTCCCCTTTCTGCCTGATTGGCGCTTCTTCTGGAATTGATCTTGGTGCTTCTCCTGAGCCCCGAAGAAGCACCAATCTCCTGGAAAGCGGCATTGATCCCGGTGCATCTGCTGAGCCCTGAAGAAGTGCCTATCACCTGGAAAGCAACATTGATCCGGGCCAGCGCACTCACACACACACAAACACGTGCGAGCAGTTACAGCTGAAGGCATTTCAGCCTTCAGCTATGGCTCCCAGTCCTCTGGCGCCTTATTGGCTCAGGCCAGCCGTCCATCAGAATCTACGTCCCGTGATTGGCTGGCTCCCTCAACGCATCCCTCCCTTGCAGAAAGGGTTTGGTTCTTCATGCCGGCTTGCCCCCTTGCGGGGCTCCTGATACTGTAGGCCCTGCTAGCCGGGAAGGCACACCAAAGTCCCAGCTGCCGGTAAGGTGATCGACCCACTCCTCTCCCATTGCCCACTCTGCCCGGCTCGAGCCTGGCTGGAGCAGTCTTGGTGCTTCCAAAGGTGGCCACTTCAAAGTCACATGGGCAGCCCTCGGCCACTCCCCGCCCCTCCGCGCCTCCAAATCGATCCCCAATCGGAGAGAGAGAGGGAGGGAGGGAGGAAGGGAAGGAGGAAGATAGGGAGGGAGAAAAAGAGGGAGAAAGAGAGGGAGAGAGAGAAAGAGAGAGAGGGAGGGAGAGAAAGACAAAGAGGGAGAAAGAAAGGAAGAGAGACGGAGAGAGAAATACAGAGGGAAAGAAAGAGAGGGAGAGAGAGAAAGAAAGGGAGAGATGGAGGGAGAAAGACAGAGGGAGAGAGAGAGGGAGGAAGAAAGAGAGAGGGAGAGAGAAAGAGGGAGAGAGAGAGAAAGGGAGAGAGGGAGAGAGAAAGAGAAGGAGAAAAAGAAAGGGAGATAGAGAGAGAAAGAAAGAGGGAGAGAGAAAGAGAGGGAGAAAGAGGGAGGGAAAGACGGAGAGAGAAAGAAAGGGAGAAAGAGGGGGAGAGAGAGAAAGAAAGAGAGAGAGGGAGAGAGAGAAAGAGAGAGAGGGAGAGAGAAATAGAAGGGAAGAGAGAGGGAGAGAGAAAGAGGGAGAGAGAGAAAGAAAGAAAGAGGGAGACAGAGAGGGAGAGAGAAAAAGGAAGAGAGAGATTAAATTAGTAACATGGTTGTTAAGTGAATCTGGTTTCCCAACTAACTTTGCTTGTCAGAAGGTTGCAAAAGGTGATCACATGATCCTGGAACAATGTGACCATCATAAATATGAATCAGTTGCCAAGCATCGAAATGTAAATCACATGACTCTGGGGATGTTGCAACAGTCATAAGTTTGAAAAATGGTCATAAGTCACTTTTTTCAGTGCCGTTGTAACTTTGAACAGTCACTAAGCAAACTGTTGTAAGTCAAGGACTACCTGTACTTTATCACTTTTTTCCATTTTTGGGGGGGAGTCAAGTTTTTGACACATCGCTAGGTGACTGGTGGTACTCGAATGTTGCCATATTCTAAAAGTGGTACAATCAGTGAAAAGGTTGAAAAGCCCTGATCTAAATAATATTATCAGTAGGAGTGAATCCACTGTTTTTCCAACAAGATTGGAAATACTTTTATTTTTAATGTGATGGTGTAATAAATTCTAATGCGGGAACTCTCAGTTTCATTGCTTAATTTTCTTTCCATCTTACTGCTTATTTTCAAACCCAGTTTGTTTTTGTGATTAATCACTATGCTTTAACTATGTTCAATTTGTAACAATGAAAATACATCCTGCATATCAGATATTTACATTATGATTCATAACAGTAGCAAAACTACAGTTATGAAGTAGCAACAAAAATAATTTTATGGTTGGGGGTCACCACAACATGTTGTTCGTCCATCGATTTCGATGAAGACCTTGACATCTTATGGATTATGGGCCATCAGCGGTGTGTCCGTAGATGGCTGATGAGACCGATGTTAGCACGGAATGTTCTGCCACATACTGAACAGAGAAATGTGGACACTATTGCTTCAGCATTTGCAGCTCCGGCTTTACGGAGTGCTCGCTTCTCTTGTGCCAAGATTGTCCTTCTGTGTTCATATGTCTGGGTAGTTAGCACTGCTGCCTGGTAAACTTTAAGCTTAGTAGCAAGGCTTATTCCACGGCGGTCCCACACGTTAGTCCGCAGTCTGCCAAATGCAGAACTTGCCTTGGCAATTCTACAGTTGACCTCGATGTCAATTGTCACTGCACGGGAGAGAGTACTACCGAGATACGTAAATTGGTCCACTGCTTGCAGCTTTTGTCCCTTCACTGTGATGGTAGGCTCTTGGTATTGGGCTTTTGGAACTGGCTGGTACATCACTTCAGTTTTCTTCGTGTTGATAAAGAGGCCAAAGTTGTCACAAGCAACTGCGAGTTTGTCCATGCTGGCTTGCATTTCCTGCTCCGATCCTGCATTAAGGGCACAGTCATCAGCAAAGAGAAGATCTCGTAGCACAGTCTCCTTTACCTTGGTGACAGCCTGGAGTCTTCGCAGGTTGAACAATTTCCCATCGGTTCTGTACCTCAGATTGACTCCCACTGAGCTGTTCTGAAAGGCATCAGACAGCATGGCTGAAAACATCATGCTGAACAAGGTTGGTGCCAGTACACAGCCTTGCTTAACGCTGTTTGTGACAGGGAAAGCCTCTGAGGCTTCACCGTTGCTCAGAACACGAGCCGCCATGCCATCATGGAACTGCCGTACCATCAGAATAAATCTGTCAGGGCACCCAAACTTTGACATAAGGCGCCATAATCCTTCACGACTGTGTCAAAAGGGTCGCGGCATTAGGAAGGTTGAGAACCACTGTTCTAGGCCTTGGTATCTGTGGTTTAATCCTATTATCATATCCTGCTTCCCTGGTGATGGGGCTAATGACTCCTAGAGTTTGGGTGGGGTATGCAGATTTTAGGTCTTTGTCTTCTTGAGTTTTCTGGCTCCAACTTTCTGATGGTTTTACATTTGCATTTATATAGGGCTGGCCCCTGCTGGAGACAGAGAGAGTTGGGGGCAGGGTTGGTTTCTGCTTTTAAAAATCCTTTTGAGCAAAATATATTTTTCTGCCCTTTTAATATTTCCTTCTCTGGGGCTAACTTCCCTCAATACAATCTTATCATTTGCTGAAAATAATTTGGGTTCTCAGCCCCCTCCCCCATGCATCCAATCTCTGCTTAACTAATCCTCCTTGAGCAATCACTCGTGATCTTCCTCTTTTCTCTAAAATACTCTTTCTAGCATCTCCTCTTTTCTCATCCCAAATCAACTATCACTTTTATCCTTACATCATTACTGTTATTATTTTATATATCCTTCTGATTTCTACAGGGTTCCTCCTTAAGCAAGCGTCTTGCTTGAAAGCACATCCTCCAGTAATTTGTATTTCAGGTTCTTTTATGAATTTGGAATATTTAAGTCCCTTGGGTGGCTCAAAATGAAAACCTAACCTTTTTTACGATGGAAAAAATGGTGTTCCATAATCGCTATTCACGGATCCTTTGGATGGAACACTGGTTTTAAAAATACATAAAATAAAGCACAATTTCTCATATTAATACCACTTTCGCACTAAATCACCTAGCAGCGAGAAGGAAGTAATCCTATCCCCCCTTCTGGCCTGAATGGTACGTTCCGAGTCAAAGTCACTTCCCTCCCCAACTGTTAGTAAATTCCGAGCAGCGAGTCATGTGAAGGAGCGGCTGCCCCGGGTGGAAATCACGTGTCGGAGGAGCCTTTTTAACCCTCTGAGCTGCAGCAGAAGCAATTGGATTTGATCAGCTGGAAGAAGGATGCGCTGTTGGGTGTTCCTAGCGGCGGTGGCCGCAACTTTGCTGGCCGTGCGAGCCCGGGATCCGGTGAGTTCCAAGCAGGGCGCCACGCTTCCCTCTCTGCTTCTCAAGCCCTGGACGGCTGTTCCTTCCTAAATAGTGAGAAAGGAGCTTAGTCTGTTGCGGTGCCTGGGGGGAAACGGAGGGTGAAGGATAAACTCTCGAAAGCGTCGCCGTGTGACTTCGATTGGGGCAAGAGAGAAAAGGGAAAGGGGCCGGTATTGGCTCGGCCGTCTGTCTCCAGGGTTGAAAGTAGGGGAAAGTTTCTGCGCTGTAAGAGCTTTTCTGTTGTTGCTGGATGCTGTGCAGGCCGCAACAGAAATTAAGAAATTATAGGAACTGAAGCAAATCTTGTAAAAACTAGAGTTGTTCTAAGAAGGAAAACACCAATGCGTGTTTTTTTTTTTTTAAATAAAAGTTAAGAGATCCTAGGTTAGTTCCAGATTTACTGGAACTTAAGAAAGACCCAGGTAAATCAGTGAGATGCAATTGATTGCAGTCATTAGTTTCTGCTCTTACTTGGCCAACTTTGGGCTGGGAGAAAAAGTATTTAGTGTGAGTACAATCCATGGCTTTGGATTAGATTGAAATGTTGAAAAAAAAAGTTCTGGAAAAAGACACTACTGGAAAACTATTACAATGTTGTGAACAGGAAAATAATATTGGCCTGCCCTAATCCTAAACTGTGAGGAACTGAAAGAGCTCAACTAATGCTCTTTCTAGATAGGAAAACATGTTATCGTTCACCAAATAATAGTTCATGTTGAAAAATAAGATCCCATTTTATAAGAGACTTGGTACAAAACAAGCTATTCCATAGAACAGCTTGATGCTCCTTAAATAGAGTGTGTTAATATTTGCCTCCAGTTAATATGGCCATTTCTTGTTTTTCCTGGTGAAGGAGTTGTAGGTCAACAAATCTGGAGTATGTCAGAGATGTTGAGATAGGCTGTACTAAGCAGTCCTCAAAATTGTTTTCAAAAGATGGACCTTGTTAGTCAGATTGACTTCTTCCTAATTCTCAGTTGACTGGCAAAAAAAGGATTGGGCTGAAGGAGATACAAGCTTATAGTACCCACAAACTTAGGTAGACAGTTTGCAGGTTGCTTGTCAGCCTTTAGAAGTATTGAAGTATGAATTTATACAAATACAAAATGCAGGATAGTCTTCTCATACACCAAATTAAACAGCATTTAGTAGAAAAGTGCTGCCCAGCTTGAGCAATTTGCTTGAACAATTCAGTGACTGTCTTCATATTCTAACAGTAGATTTCACTTTAAACTTCCTGTTTTACTCAGTACTGCAGAGAAACTGAAACATTATTTCTCTGCCTCACTGCATGCTTTGTAAATATGGTTGCATGTTTCTTGGTCTGAAATTGATTACGGTATATATAGAGAGAAAAAATTGAATGCTTGGATGGTGACTTATATTCAAGAAATTTCTACTGATTATTTTGAAACTAGATAGTTGTGTGTCAGTAAACCAACTGAAAAAATTAGTAAATGAAAATGTTACTTCTTTTGAAAAGATTAGCTTCATGGGATTTTTTTCAGATTTATCAGGGATACCAATTATTTCAGAATTAGGAACCACTGAAAGCAAATTGCAATTTATTTTCAAAAAGTAACCCAATTAATTTAGATTTTAAACCGCTTAAAAGTTAAGGTGTTGCACAGCATTAAACCAAATCATACTGGCATACATTATATAAATGCTTGGAGGAGAAAATATGGAATGGATGCCATGATAAGTGTAAAAAGTTCCAAACATACATGAGAAGCAAGAAATGTCACTGTTCTGAAAAGCTCACCTCCATATAAGAAAAACACCTCCATATAAGATCCATTGGGACACCCTCTGAAATGTGTTCTATTTCAGAGGGCATCCCAATGGATCTTATATAGAGGTGTTTTGTTTTTTAAAAAATATTTTTAGTTTACTTGTATGCATTAAATTATTTGAAAGTAACAAATCAAAGACTGGACAAACAAATAGCTAAAGGACATTCTGGTGCTGCCTTCATGAGAGTTATGGATTTTTTCTTATGGTTAGCATCAGGTATGAGATAAGATAGTTCATAAATGCAGTATTTACTGGGATTATGTGCCATCAATCAAATTGGAACAAATTGGCTCAAATCTTTTAAAAATGTTTATGGTTTTTTCGAATCCATGCTGGGAAAACTCAGCTTCTGGCAAAACATCATCTTCCAGCTTTTTGTAGTAGCTTTTTTCCTCTGACTTTGCTATTGCATCTTAAATTATTCAGATGACCAGTGCTTTTTCAGATTCCTAACTGGATTTAAGCATTTATTTTTAGCCCAATTTTGTTTCTAAAGTTTTCATGAGCTATTTTACTTGTAGCCCATACAAGAACAAACATATTCTTTATGTGAATATTTTTTCTTCTATTTTATTTTTTACACACATATAAATTATTTATAACTATGTGAAGTTCTAACATGTTCCAAGAGAACAAAATCAAATAGTTTTATGATTCATTACTATCTTTCTAGTAATATTGTCAGAATGGTTCTGGCAGTAACATTTTGGCTTGAAATACCAACATATTAATGGCCTACGTGGGGATATATGATAGTACTCCATGTGCCCTTTTTCAGGGATACGCAATTGCAATTTTTCTTGTTTTATTTTCTCTCATAGATCAGGTGACTTGGGACAGGAGTGTAGTGAAGTTTTAATAAAAAGTAGTTTAACGAAGAGTTTTTTGGCTTGTTTCTTTGTACTTAAGAATAGAGGAGCAAAGGATCATATCTCAGTTCATGAAGCAAACATATAGTCTTCCTTACACATACCAAAGATAATGCCACCTTAATATTAAAATCAGAGTAGATCATTAGGAACAGGAAGAATATGAGTAACTTCAGACTCAATGAGTTTGTACTTTTCTAGATGCATCTTTGATCTTGCTGCATTTCTCACTCTGTATATTTTAGAAATGTGAAACTGTGCCTTGATTAATAACTCATTTCCTTGCATGATCTTATTTGAGATGCCTTTCTCTTATTTTGGCAACAAATGCCTTCCAACATACTTAGAATATTACTTTATCTGCCTATTGTTTGCTTACCTGGTCTTTCTTTCTGTTTTGTATTCATTAATATTTAATTTCTTGAATAAAGAAATTGCTTACCTGTAAGGAATTATATATATATATATATATATATATATATATATATATATATATATATATATATATATATATATATATATAT